TAGTAGGTAGTAGTACTACTCTCTCTCTCTCTCTCTCTCTCTCTCTCTCTCTCTCTTTCTTTCATCACAATACAGGAGAAGAATGTCCGTGCGTGTCTTGAGTGTGTGCAAATGCCCAATCACTGTGTGTTCCGCTGTTTAGAGGAGAGTGCGCCTCCAATAAGCGACAACCGAAAGAGCCTCAGAAAATCTGTTGTGCTCGGTAGGTTCACATATATATATGTGTGTGTGTGTGTGTGTGTACCATGTATGCCCCTCCCGGACGTGGATCTAATAAACGTATTCGTATGGGTGTTTATGTATCCATGTGTGTGTGCTCAGAGTATGTATAGTATATATGCATACGTATTCGTATGGGTGTTTATGTATCTATGATTGTGTGCTCAGAGTATATATTGATACGTATTTATATGGTATATCTATGAGTGTGTGCTAAGTATATGTAGTATATATACATACCTATCTGTATGGGTGTTTATACATCTATGAGTCTGTACCATGGCCCCCACTGTGTCTTGCGCTGTTTGGAGAGCACAGCCCCGATCAACGATAACTGAAGGAGTCCTATCCACCGTCCCAATCATACCTACACACACACCCCATCCACTGTATATCCTACTAACCCCATCATACGTCGTCACCGTGACTTACCCACTCTCCTCAACGGTCTGATCTCTGTGTGTACAGCCGATGGTATGGCCTACGTTGTAGTCAAATGCATTGGCGTGGGTGCGTGGGCGAAGGTCTACTTGGCAGAACACACCGACCCGCCACAGCACCACAGCACACAGTGAGTGTTGTGATAGGAGTGGTTTAGAATAGACGCTATATGTAAATACATTCAGGAGAGTACATGTGTGTGTGTAGTGTTGTGTAGTATAGTACTTGTGTGTGTGTAGTGTTGTGTAGTATAGTACTTGTGTATATATAGTGTTGTATAGTATAGAACGCGTGTGTGTGTAGTGTTGCGTAGTATAATACTTGTGTGTGTGTAGTGTTGTGTAGTATAGTACTTGTGTATATATAGTGTTGTATAGTATAGTACTTGTGTGTGTGTAGTATTGTGTAGTATAGTGCTTGTGTATGTATAGTGTTGCTTGCGTATGTATTGTGTTGTATAGTATAGTACTTGTGTACTTACTGAATTATGTGCACATATCTTCTCATTCGCATACACATACCAATTTCCATTCACATTCACATTCCCACTTTCATTTGCCATTGCCATTCTCTTTTCCCATTCCTCATCCTCATTTCCCATCCCCATTTTCCATTTATTTCCCATTCCTATTCTCATCCCCATGTCTCATTTTCCATTCCCATTTCCTATTTTCCATTTCCTATTTTCCATTCCCATTTCCCATATCCAGACTGTACGCCATGAAAGTCACTAGGCGGGCCATTGGTCAGTGGGAGTCCTACATCGCACATGAGCTGCAGCGACGCTTTAAGCTGCTGCCACCACACCTCAGCACCACCACAAACTACCGTGTCTTTGGACAGGCACACAACCTGCATGTGTATGCGGATGCAGCCATAGTCATGGTTGACTATTTAGTATGGAGGTGTGTGTGTGTGTGTGTGCGTGTGTGTGTGTGTGTGTGTGTATCTTGGACAGGCACACAACCTGCATGTGTATGCGGATGCAGCCATAGTTATGCGAAACTGAAGTTGAGATACTGAATTTGTAATACAGCCCCACTGTAGTACAGACCTTAATATATCGAACTACTTCATCCCATAGTAAACGGGGTTGGGGACATACAGTTACATAGCTATGTAGCTCATCTTGTGTTAAACGGTATGTATACACATACCCCTCACCCCACCCATCCAAGGTTGCACACAGCTGCACCTCATCTTATACACACCTGCATGTACTTATACAGTCCATACATACACACCCATCCATAGGCTCTCTACTCGACGCGGTAAATGCCTACGACTCGGCTGGTGTGAGCATGCCATTGGAGCTGGTGATGTTCTACGCTGTTGAGATAATGCGTATAGTGGAGGTCTTACACGCGTGTGACATACTACACGGCGATCTCAAACCAGATAACTTCTTGTTACGCAATGGACCTGGGTAGGTTGAGCTGTTTGTGTTGTGGATATACGACATGTCGTATATTGTTGTGTATTGGCTTCTGTTGTTGCTGCGCAATGGACCCGAGGAGGTTGTGCGGTCGGTGTTGTGTATATACGACATGTCGTGTATTGGATATATTTGAGCACTTTACCCGGGTGGATGGGCTGATCTGTATGTTTTGTCGAAGTATGGTGTATGTATGACATGTCGTTTATTGGCACCTGTTGTAGAAAACACACGAAGCGTGGATCGAGAATTCTGCAGCTTTTTACTGCGCAGAATGGTCGGGTGCGTGTTGGTCGATGTATGGTGGTTTACGACATGTCACATATTGTCGTATATTGGCCTATGTTGTGACAACAAACGGCAGTGTGTGGTGGTATAGTCGCGCCGTAGCTGTGTATCGGGATGTGTGAATTTCCGACAGTGTGGTGTTATTTGAAATTTGTTTCATATTGGCACGTGTGACAAGCTTCGTCCTACACTACAATACGCACCCCGACAAACAGCAGTATCAGATCAAAGCCAACCCCCTCCTAATAGACACGGCAAATATATCTATATATATACATATATATATATATATATATTACATATATAGGTATAGATATATATATATATGTGTGTGTGTGTGTGTGCATGTCATTAACATACATATACATGCATTTTATTTTCGGTGTGTATGCATCCGATTGTGACGGGTGTCTTCTATTGACTTTGGGTAAAAGGCCATTCCTTTCTTTCGCCTATGTCGCATACTCACCCCATTGCCCCCCTCCGCGCTATACAACAGAATCCCCGATTCTGATTGGTCGCCGGATAAAAACCCGGACTGGGAAGAATTCGGACTGCAGCTGATCGACTTTGGACGCAGTGTAGACTGTGCGCTATACCCAGCGCAAACTCAGTTTTCGGGGTCAAATAAAACCGAGGGGTTTATTTGTATGGAGATGGCTGCTCACAGGCCATGGCGCTATCAGGTATGTACCTTGCACGGAAAAGAGACTACGGATAAGGACCTACAACACTGAACTACCAAGTGTATGTATATGTGTCTGTGTATGTATATGTGTATGTACACGTGTCTGTGTCTGTGTTTGTGTCTATGTCTATGTCCTCATTCGCTTGTCCTCATTCACTTGTCCTCATTCGCTTGTCCTCATTCGCTTGGCATCATCCGCTTATGCTCATTCGCTTGTCCTCATTCACTTGTCCTCATTCACTTGTCCTCATTCGGTAGGTGGACACCTTCGGAGTGCTTGGCATCATCCACTGCCTGTTCCATAAGAGATATATGAGTGTTGAGAAACGCGGATCGCGGTGGAAGCCCAAAGAAGCCTTCAAACGGTACGATGGCCCAGACACCCAGGAGTGATATTTATATACGAGTCTATTCCTAAAATGATGGTGTTTATGAGTTTATTCCTAACAACGATGAAGTTTATGAGTCTATTTTTAAAAATGAAGTTTGTGAGTCTATTCCTGAAAATAATTGTATGCGTCTATTCGTAAAAAGGATGAAGTGTATGAGTCTATTCGTAAAAATGATGAAAGGGATTGGAGGAGTAGGGCCATGTGTGCCGTTCTCTCGCAAGGTTTACTTGCGTATCAGTGCGTTCTAGGCGGACTCTGTACAAGAACTATAGCATGTATGGGCAGATGTGTAGGGTTTTTAGTTTCATGAACAGGTATGCGGGGTTGCTAAGTGCTTCGTCATCCAGGTTGATCATGAGGTTTATTCGGTTTTCTTGAACCATAAACCCTAAATCCCATTATCCGCAGAAGCTAATTATCCTACCCTACCTCCCACCCTGGAACCAGCACAGTTGTACGCTCGTGCATCGGCTTGTTGTGTTTGTGGAGAACCCGATTTGGTTCGGGTTGTTATCAATACTTGCTGTACGTATACTAAGATTTTGGCACACCCCAGTGTCTCAAATAGCTGAGTTAGATATTATCTTAACCCTGATTCTATTATCTGAACCCAATATTCGAATTACAGCTATTGGCAGGCCGATTTATGGGCCGAGCTTTTCGATACGTTCTTGAATATCAATCCTGCAGATGAGGCTCCCAGCTTGGCACCATACCGGATTAGGATTGAAAGGGAATTGCGGGATCCAAAGCGAGTTTGTAAGTTGAATGCTCAATTGAAGGAACAAATATCGCTAGTTCAGCGCTATAGGGCTAGTACAGGTGGAAAGGTACGACGATAATAATAAAAAAGTAGTAGAAAGCAAATACCCTTGGCAGGATAGGTGCAATATATATATATATGTATATATTGATATTAATATCCAAATTCATGTTCATATTCATATATACATATACATATATATTGAAATACACATATATATATCTTGATACATATATATATATATCCTTGGCAGGATAGGTGCAATATATATATAAGCGCACATATATTGATAAATATTGCTATTGCTATTGATATTGATATTGATATATATTGCTATTGCTATTGCTGTTGATTTTGATTTTGATATTGATATATACATATACATATATTTTGATATACACATATATATACCTTATAAATACATACATATATGTATATATATATATATATATGTCTGTGTCTGTGTTTATATATTTTATGTATGTATATATATCATCTATACTATCTATATTATTATATTATGTTAAAGTATATATTATATATCATATATATATAGCTAAATCATACGAACTCAACATTTGCTAACCTTCCATTCCCCTCTATTAGTTCAAAGTGGCAGTTCTAAATCTGACAGCAGGAACTTCACCGTACACACTGCATTCCCAAATATTTTCCGGCGTACACCGTTGAGTGCTTCATATAGAAAACCCTCGAATTCTAAAAGATCAGAACCCGAGCCAGCGTGTGGCTGGTAAGCAAATATCGTCCCACCCGTTCAGTTTCCACGCTTCCTACCCTCCACACCAGCCAGTCAATTACAACAACATTTCATACTATTGCAACCTGTGATAATCTGAGTGATGAATTGCATTCGATCGTCACGCGCGACCGTCGGCACGTTCTCTGTCTGATGACAGACTATTTTAAGGGTACGGAAAAATCAATTCATAAAAATATAAATTCATAATGTACCATCGTGACATACTATTATAAGGGTACAGAAAATTATTTCGTAGAAAATAAATATATGATCTACCATCGTGATTTCAACTGGGTGTATTTTAAATTCTCGAGAGAGAGAAAGAGAGAGAGAGAGAGAGCATTTTATATGTCTGTTTAGTTCGTCTTGCTTGCAGTTTTTGACGTAGCCCCGGTAATATTGGCTAACCCGTGACCATAGGGGGCAGTGGCTCGAATACGAACAGATGTGGCGTTAGTTCTTCTGCACTTCCACTCGACAAGAAGTTGGCGCTGCTAACTTGACTCTGATTCGATGTTTTTCCTGTCTGCTCAAACCCCTAGTACACTTCTAAGTCTGAATCCTTGTTTTCGTCCAAATGTGCGGTCTCGCGAATGATCTCCGTATGACCTGTGCGTTCCTGCTAAGGGGTGCATCCAATCGTCGTACCACCTCGTGCATTTGCTGGGTTGGTTGGACTAGTCTGTATATAGTGGCTGGGTTTGTGGTACCCGTTCCTTGGGTCAGGGAAGGGAGCGAAAGTGGTTCTTTCACTAGTCTAACCGTGAGTCCACCCCCGGATTCCTCACTCACTCGTTGCTCGTGGGCCGGATTCGATCGGCGAATGACTGGGTTGTAAGCTGTTCCTCTCCTTCTCTTTCTCCTTCTGTGCTACGGTAGGAAGGAGTGCCGACTGCATAAATAAACTTTAGTCGAGTTCGTACCGTCTAAAATATTCCCAACCAAGACAAGTATTCGTTTTGTACACGTGTCGTCTCTCGTCGAATCCGTTGTAAATTAGGTCCTTTGCTTTCTGCCATTCCTTTTGGTCCAAGTTAATGGACTGGGCCAGCTGATCTGCAACCCATTTGACACTTTCCTCATCAATGGTCTCCCATAATTTTCATTCTTTACTCCAGTGGTTAAGAAGAGTTGCAGTAAATATACACTCATCGGCAGCTGTGATAAATCTTACCACTTGCAAAGTGTAAAAGTAATGTATCAACGGCTGACTATGTGTAATATTCAACGTTGACATGATCGTCGACTTGTGAGCTCATGCGTGCATTCTTCCGTCGATTTATGTGCACTCTGACGTATGTACCGAATACTCGCAATCAAATACCATGATATACTCATATACGCATGATGTGTAAAATCATACGTAATACAGACAAAAATTGCTAAAAATTATACGCTTATAAATACAAAACTTTAAGTTATAGAATATATAAGGATGGTTGTCCGAGTGGTCCAAGGAGTTTGACTTAAGCTCAATTATGCGTATGCATGCGCAGGTTCGAACCCTGCACCATCCAATAATTTTTGTACTTTTTTTTTAATCATGCGTCGTCTCAAACTAGGATTCGCTAAGATCAATATTGTGGCGTGGAAAATAGTAGTTTAGGTCCACGCCAACACATATACCAGAGATGATGCATAGAACACTCACAACCTGTACTGAAAATGTGTTTTATTTTTATCCCCGCAGAGGTATATTATCCTGTTGTGCAATTTTATTTATATTCTGTCGGATTTTGATTCTGAGAAAGTTGGAAGTCTCGATAGTACTGCGCGAGCATTATAAACTGCTCATGAACCAATGGATATTGATCTTAACTCCCTTGTATTTGATTGGTCCATGAGTCTATGTTTGTACTTTTGCCTTTTAGTGATTGTTAAACGTGAAATACATAGTTTTTTGTTCACAATGTCTGTGTCGTGATCAAGGATGATAGAAGTATAAAGAATGATATACCAACAAAATGGTCCATAAATATAGCTAAGGCAGTAAATTCGGACTTATAGGAGTTGGCCTGATATCTGACCAATGCACATGACGGTATGTACGAGCGACACTCTACGCTCAGGTTCTCTATGTTGAACAATAAAACTACGTCGCAAACGATGACATGTACATTGTACGAAACAAGGCAAGTCGATTTGGACGCACCTGTCACCAGGGGCAATCTGATCTAATACGGAATAATGATAAAAGGACGCAATCGGACGAAGAGTTCGAAGCTGAAGCCGAACATGTAAACAGACCGCATAGACTTAGTCGGCGCTTGACAGTAGGTTTGCTAGACCATCGTACAACAACCTCGCATACACTCACTTTGACAATATCTTCACTCCCCCCTTTATAGGGGTATATCTCACTGGAAACCCTCTTATTCTGCTATCCATACATTCTCCCAGGCATAAGCCCAGCCCGAGCACAAAAGGTACGCCCCAATACTTACAGTGGCTCGACGCCAGAAAGTAGGAGCACTCGTACATCATCTATACGAATCTCGGGATATATCGCAAGGACAAAATGACCATTCTAATTCAGAAAACTATTTACAATTTTTGAGTAGATTACCGTTGTGAGATGTCCATCGTGTTTTAGAATAGTGTTGAAAGAAGGTTTAGAAATTAGTGACCTCTAAGCGAGGTTTGAATTTGCGAACAGCCGTGGGTTCATATGCAACACTTGCATGCCCTACTATGGAACTTATGGCGTGCACGTGCATGCATTAGCTGTTAGATGAAGTTGTATGGGTTTGTCAGATGACACCACAAGAACAACGTCAATAAATAAACCAGGCATTGGTGAGAATTGGGAACAGCCTTGAGGGTTTTGAGAATGTGGCACAAAACGTAGCTATAACCCGTTCACATTTTCCCATACTGAGTTCACAGCACTACATCCTGCTGGGCAAGAGATAACTTACGCGCCTAAAACAGACGAGGAAAATGATACGCCATACTATGAAGCACGTCTGAAGATGATTCGACTTGGTACTGATATAATTTGTGTATAATATTCTCATATGAGAGCAAAGTAGGTCAACCAGGAAACCGTTGCACCTGATACCATCGTAAACTTTAGTAGATGGCCAGAACACGAAGGTGTGGCAGAGACATCATCGGTATCCTGCTTCGCTCGTCGGATCTGTGACTTGAAGACGGATAATATGAGAAAGCGCGTATCAATTCTATAAATTTCACATCATTACACGGTTGTAGTGCTATCTGTTTGAAAAAGGAGGCCATGAAACTATTAGAAATGGTGACAAAGTAAATTTGAAGGTTTGCATATTGTGATTTGGCTATGAAAATACTTTGGAACCCACGTTATCATATGGTAGGGTTTAGTGAGCACAATTCTACATGGTCAGAAAACGAGGGTAGCGGTCATGGCGTGCGAGTGTGATCACCCCAGTTTAATGCAAGAGGCACGCGATTTGACTAGGAATTATAATACACAAATGGTTCATGGAATACAATATGATATACCAACGATAGATGAATCCGTAAAGGCATGGTGTGATGTGACATACGCACAGCAATCTCGTTTTTAAGACGAAGACGTAGTCTAAAATGCCAGCAAAAACATGTGTAGGCAGAAAGAGGGATATATTTTATCATTTTATCTAATGTCCACTACCATACACTCTAACAACTAATCAGATCTGATGCTTCATAAGTCTAGTATTAGGGTTTAAAGAAGTTAAAACTAATAACTAGCCTGTATGGTAAAGCGGTGAGTGGTGGAAGTCGTATAAATGAAGGTTGTGTCAGTATAGTTCATTTAATTGTCATTATATGGCCATCGCGTATGTAATATTACAAGCAATGTACATCACGTCAATAGTATATGAGCCTTACAAACTATTACCGATCGTGTTATAACTTCTCCCCTATATGCCTCAGTCTTTCATATGTGAGTTTAGACTCAATTCGCGCTAACATCTTTCATAGCATACTTTGCTTCCAAAAGTAGTACAGCTCCTTTCCACTTGATTGTAGGGTACTTGACCATCATTGTCAACGTATCATTGCAGTAGGCCTTTGGAAAGGACTTTGTCTGTTTATACTTCAACGTTTTGTTCCCTACATGTCTATTGGAATCATTTTTGTCTAATCCGTATCATGTCACCGCTTAAGTCGTTTTTCTTGGCCTGCCGCATAGTCGTTATATGCTTTCCGGTCCCCATCTCGTCTAATATCTACATAATTTTCATACAGAACAGTATATAGTGTTAGCCATAAGGTCTGCGTCTCGCCTATCCCTTGAAGAGTTTCACCAGGCAAAACTCTTTAGCGAGTCCAATATCTTTTCCTGTTGCGCACCGCCACAACATATGATCATATAAAGCCATTGGACGACCGCATATCAGTGACTAAGCTTGCTATACCATTGTAATATCATTCTTTGCACGGACCTCGAATAGTGCATAGCATCGACTGTCTCATCACATATACATGAGAGACCCGCTTCGCCTCAATCTCGAATACACAACCATATTCACCAAGTCATTATGATCCAGCTTGTTGGCTGGTGGAGCTAGCTCAGTAACAATCTTGCTCTTAATGTCTTACTTCAGGTTCAAGTCTTTAAATCACACATAATCTCTCCAAGTTTCAGTAGACAACTCGGCAGATTAGAATGTTGTGCGTCTAGGCTAATATTGCCCAGTACATCACTAACGACTTCAACTACCTCTGAAACGTTTCAATTATTCCTTGTCAAAGGTATCTAATGTTGAGATGAATCTTTCTTTGCATTGAACTTTCACCTATTCACTTGAGCCCTATTACCTACTTTGCCAGCACTTTCACATACCTTGTCGGCGATATCATCACCGTCTCATTTATTGCTATCGCTATTCTTCTCACTATTGCCGTTATCATTCTCACAAACAATACTATCACCTTCATCACTGCTGTTATATTCATTTACTACCTCCAACAGTTTATCACTGAACCCATTTCAAATTGACACACCGCCACCAACATCAGAATAGGCCTGTGTCTGCAAGTATATTGCTGCATCACTCTGGCAAAGCTTTTCAATAGTTGACCTAACTTCGCCTTCTAAGGATCACTCGGTTCTATCAGCTTAACGCGTCTACTGATGTATTCTAGTACGGGTCTGTGAACAATTGAAATCGACATTGCCAATCTCCCGGAATGAGTTCTACTGAGTCAAACATGCCGCCCTTTCGTATTAATGCTGCTGTTAGCCTTTTAGAAGTCGCGATTTTATTGATTCTATGAAGTTTCGATGACCTCATAAAGTTCCCTACATGACCCCCGGTACGAGCAAAGTGGGCGTCTAGCAAGCCTTTCCAATATCGTATGATTTCAATTCAGGGTATGGTAGATTCATCAGCAAAGACAAGAGATCCCTAGATCGGTATGAGACGTGAGGACTACGGTCGTTATTTGATTTAGCATAAATGGAATGGTAGCTTCAATCAGAGAATATACGTATTTGGTTGCTTGCTCATTTCCACATTTCCTAAATCTGGTGTCCATAGACGATGTATTGTATTGCTACGCCCTTATATATTACTATACCATCTTCCCCCACCTCTGTTCGCTCCTTATACTCGGAGGATATAGACATTCAGCCGTGCCACCCCACCCCACGTAATCCGTAATGTACGCGACTGGTCTCATGTGGTAAAACTGTACTGAACATTTTACAGCCGATTAAAGTGATTCATCTGAACTACTTTTGTTAGCTATGCAACGATCTGACATGTTTTGAGCACTTTGTCATGGTGATGTTACCGGTTTTTTACTCTGGGTTGATAGCCAGAATATGTCCTCTCTACAAGCCTCTGGTATATCCGATGCGTTTTATTGAACATCACCCGCACCGAATGCACTTTTGCGTACTGTTCGCAATTCTGTGATACGACCCAAGACATGAACAAACGCCAACTCCATTCGTCTACCTTGATAGATACAATGATGATTGTCTTTGAGAGTGCATATTCTTCATAGTGTATATTGACAGTATGTTCACGTACAACGTGTTGATCTAGCTTATGTTTGTTGAATATACTAAATCCACCAAAGTTGCAAGCCGTGTAAGCTCTGGCTGGTTTTACGAAATGTACAATATATCTTGTATTGTATCAACTAAATTCGTATATAGCGTTCCGCACAGTCTGGGCTTTCCAGTACGAACTTGAACAATTGATTCATCAGTACAAACTATTTTTACCATCAACCTTTTTCAGGAGCAAGTAGCACAATCATTTATTAACTCAAAAACATTAATAGTGTGCTTTCATAACATTAAATTATTAAACCTTACTTGTGTTCTTAGCATGAAGTGTATCTAGAAGATATATCAAAACAACACAGGTAAAATCCTGATATGAAATATATAGTATTATACAATATGTGCTTCGAATCTGACGCAGAGTGTAAATTGAATTTGTGAGAGTGATTAATCAGCTCGACACGTGGAAGATATTTGCTGATCGTCCTATACCATGAACGTTTTCTATCTTTAACTATCTGTGCGTTATTG